GCCTGGAAGTTGATAACAACTCACCAAAATTTCCATTACAAGCACAACCCCTGCCTATGTCAATGGGGGTAAGCTGGGCAGCAGGAACACGTCTGCCAGCAGCAGCTCAGCTGGTAAAAGGGAGAGCATGCACACAAACAAGAAGAGAGAATGCGATACAATTTCAGTTCTGATTTTATCCACATCAATTGAGAAATGTTCCAACAGGAGAAAAGAAAAAAGAAAAAAGAAAAGAAACACCAACTCAACTTCCTATGAGTTAGCATAAGACTTTGGGCTGAATACTGTTAAATCCATCACCTTGAAGCACTGCGTACATCCAGGTCCCAGAGAACTGGAACCTGGTCTAATTACATTAATAGAGTCCCTGCCCCAAGAGCCTGCCATTGGATTTAATACCAGGTGCAAAAAAAAGATGTTTTGACAAAAAGACAGATGGATTGGACGAGGAAGAGTGAGAGGAACACACAGTTACCCACAATTGGCAGGTTGCTTTCTTTTCTCCTTTTTTTTTTTTTTTAAATAAAAATAAATATCAGTAATCCCCACTGGCCACCTGCCTAGCTTTTGTATATTTAATTAAGAAGAATTTGGGTGATGAAGAATTGGTCTAAAGTTCAGCCACTTTGAAGGATGGTGGAGTTAGAGGCCTAAGGGCCGCATCTAACCGTAGGACATTGAGAAATGCTACTATTCCAGCCTACTCTGGAACCAGCCAACAGCAAATTCCCACTTTGCAACAGAATCCCCCCCAAAAATAAGAGAAGGAATGGGAGAAGTTCATAGTGAGCTGGTCTGGACCAGTTTCTGAAAGCCAGTGACCTCACTGCTCCTCAGCACAGCTTGTCTTTATAGCGATAAGGCTGGAATTGTATTCATGTTTAACAAAATCATTTCAATCCACAATGATGGCTGTTTAGCAGTGAAAGAAAGAAAAGGGAGAAGGGAAAAAAAAATCTGACTACACGCAGAATATCAACCGCTGTCCTCTCTTCCTACCCCAACACAGCCACCTTATATAGGACAGAAAGTCCCCTAAGACAAAAACAAAGTATCCTTAGCATGGGAAAATATTTATCCAAGTTTTGATTTCTTCTCAAATCAGCATTTAACAGCATTTAAACGATCACATCTTACATCATTTCCTTTTATGCGCCAGCAGTTAGACAATACACATCATTTACATGCAGTTTTGGAAGGCTGCAACATAAATCAACAAAAGAAGCCTTCACTATGAATTAACTATTACAAGGCTCCTAGAGACCCACACCAGCCTGCATTGGGGACAATCAGAAACATCACCCCTAACTCTGAGCTTTCTAGGGCAGTCCTGCCACACACCTCAGAACTCTCAAGGAGCCACCCTTCCCCCATCATTTCTGCTAAGGGAGAATCATGGTGTCTATCTGGGGGGGTCAGCTGACTTAAAAACATATACACACACACAGAAAAAGAGTGACTGAGCAAGTCAATGTGGTTCAGTCTCAACAGCAACAGTAATAAGCCCTACACCTCTGGGAATGATCAGATGGTACAGATTTGTACATATGCAAAATATCAATCGATGCCTTTAATTCACATTTTTGCATGCAAAAAAAAAAAAAAAAAAAAAAAAGAAGAAGAAATAACCACTTCAAATCTTATCTCAAGGCAAAATTCGGGTGTGTTTTTATTCTGCGTGAGCAAAACTTCAGATTAAGCTCATTGCAGCATAAGGAAAAATAAAATTCAACCACAGCAATGCTAAAAATGCCCTTTCACTATTTGCAAAAGATGAAAAAAAGGATCCTTAAGAGAGTCAATCACTTGGGAAGCTGGCTGCAAGTTACAGTCACACTGAAGTGCTGTGATAAAGCAGGAAGGACTTCAGGACTGCCTGCACGGCCTTTGTTCTGCCAGACAGCAACAGGCACCAAAAGCCCAACTGCTGTTTTTCTGCAAAATCCCCCATTGCTTGCAGTTCATAGCTGTACATCACAATCCTCATCCCACTGCTTGGAGGAGGGCTGCAAGGGGAATCCCTACACAGTCAGCCCTGCCCAGAAGCACCCCACTGAGCTCTGACCAGTGGAGGGAAAAATTCTCCCAATTCCAGCAAATGTCAGACCCTGGCTCTTCACAAAAGCAAAGTTATCAGAGGTGTGTGGCCACTTGCTGCTGCAGCAACTCCAAGGTAAATTTGCTGACTGCATCCCACACAACTTAACTGCTTGCTGGCTAACTTAAAATAAACACTGCTTTGAAAAACTTCCCTCTTCCTTTTGTGCTGTCATCCACGGATTTTGAACCAATTCCAAAAGGGCAAACCACTTCCAAGCTGGGCTTCCATTACCCAGGATTTGCAATGGCAAGCTGCAGAGCCGTGCTTTCCTCAGGGATGCATCAAGCGTTCCTCCACACAAGGACTGACATTGCTTTATAGGCACACAGATCTGGGACCCTCAGCTCATTTTTTTCCCAGTTCACTTCCAAGTATACAGGAGAGACACAGCAGGGTTGTGATGACAAAAATTACTTCAACTCTATGCATGTCAAGCAGAGCAGCCCAAAACTCAGCATGTTCAAACACCATATTGCAGTCACAAGAAGCCAACCCACTTAAAAATGGCTTAAAATCCCAGGGGAATCCATGCTGTTCTATGTCAGGGAGCAGCATTCAGGTGCCAAGCAGCAGGCAGGGAGCAACCTCTTATTTTGTGGGGGCATACAGGTAGGTATCTATACAGCTAGACATACACAGAGTTAATAAATAGCTGAGCTATCAGCTCGCCAATCCTGAGCTATGTTCATTAGGCCCAGCCAAGGCTCAGAAGGGAATGGCCAGCCCACATGTGGCCTTCCCCCCAGGTCAGGGCAGTCTCCCACCAGCCTGCAGGCCCCAGAGGGCCGGGCACCGCCAGTGCCACCCTGGTGCCTCCCGGCCAGACAAAGAAATAACGTCACCAACTGCCCCCATCCTCCTCAAATGGCAGGTCGCCAGCCAATCCTGCTGCCAGCAGGATTGTGTGACATCACAGCCATGCCAGTGATGCCAATGCCTGCTGGTGACAGAGAATCAGGGCTTGGAGTGGAGCTCCCAGCTTGAGGTGCTGGGAGGAAGAGAGGAACTGAGTTGGAATCAGAAAAAGGAAAATCTTGTTTATGTGCTACCCTGCTATGTGTACACACCTCACATACATGTACGAAGCAAAGAAGTGGCTGTGCAAATCCAAACTTTAACACCTGAGCTTAGGAACATCTGGCAACTGCTGCAAGCATACCAATATTAACCATTTCCCATATTCCTGATGCTCAGGATGCCATGTCCTCAGTTACTAAGCAAGAGGAAACAGGGAGGGAGGAAATTCTCAGAGGGCAGCAAGGCCCCTGGCAGAGCTGCCCAGAGAAGCTGTGCTACCCCATATCTGGAGGCACTCGCAGCCAGGTTGGATGGGGCCCTAGGCAGCCTGAGCTGGTGGGGGGCAGTCCTGCCCACAACAAGGGTTGGGGCTGGGTGGACTTCGAGGTCCCTTCCAACAGACACCATTCTGAGATTCCATGATTCTAGGGCCAGAGGAAACCTGGTCTGACTCACAAACAAATCACAGCCAGGACAGCAGCCGCCTGCCACCTCTGCCACTGATGCCCATAGCACCTCCGGCTATTGGTTGCTCTTCCACAGCAACAAGCACACGTGCTGAGGGTGGTTCCTATAGTAACTTTACTGGAAGAGCTATAGCACAGCTAAGAGAAACCAAATTCACAATTTCTAGGCTTAAGCCAGTTAAGTAACAAAGTCATGGTTGGTTTAAGTCACAGCATTAGCAAGCAAACCGAGAAACAAAGCACTACATTGCAATCATTAACAGAAGAGGATAAAGTCACACCTTTTGTGCCCTATGATTTTTTGCATAAGGGCTTCAGGTGACGCAAGCTCTGGAGCAGGAGGATTGCAGCAAAAAACCCAGCCTGCCGAGAGCAGGCAGTGCCAGTGCACCATCCCAACCCACTGCCCCTTCCCTCAGCCTGGGGATCCCAGTTTCTTGCCTGGAGCAGCAGCCCCACCATCCCACCACTCGCACCGCACATGCTGTGCGCTGCCTGCTCCAGCACAAAGGCTGAGGTTCACGCCCTCAAAACAAACCAACATGTGTTTCATTTTCAGCAGCATCTAGCCATCAGGAATGCTTAAAAATTGCACTGCCTTATCTATAAGCAAAAAAAAACCCAAGCAGCTGGGCATGTTCGGCTTCTTCCAGTTATCTCACCCTCCTTCTGCACATTCTGCCTGCATTTCTGTACAGTTTAAGGCGAGATCCTTCCACCTCCAGCCAAGTACTAAGACTGTATGAATAATTAGTCATCCTGGTCACCATCACTCACTGCAAAGTCATGCAATCTTGAGATTTGTTTGTTCCACTGACTGAACAGTGGAGGGAAAAAAAAATAAAAAAACAAAAAGTAGGCTAGTTTCACACCCACACGGGCACTCTCCTATTTCTATTTTTTAAAGGCATACACTTGTCAAACAGGTTCATCTGGGAATTCTGATTTTCACAAAATAACGCTCTCATTTCCAACGCTGATCTGATGGCCATTGTGTGCCCTCTGTCAGAGCAGTGCTCAGCACACCAGGCTCCTGGGAAGGTTTCCCAACAAGGAACTGGGTGGCAATTCCCACCAAGGGCAGAGCCTTTGTTTCCCATCATGGCAGCAGCCGTAACTTCCATGAGGATTTGAGCAATTCTGAATGAGCACTAGGAGCTATTTCTAAAGCTCAGACACACTGACAGTGGTTTGGTCTCTTCCTTGGGGGAGAGGGGGCTATTAAGCTGTTTCGGGATGGGTGCTCCTTTTTGAAAGCAAAGACAGAGGCCAGCAAACTTGTCAGGGGCTGCAGCAGTGACAAGGACAGCCTTTCTGTCACCCTAACCCCTCTGCTCATCATCAGCCAGGCGAAGGACCCAGCTCCCGTCTGGACAAAACAGCAATACAGAGAAAAGAGAAATCCTGCCACCAACCTTGTAGACTTGCCCATACGTGCCATTACCAACCACTTCGACCAGCTCAAAAATCCCGGCGGGATCCTGCAGGGGAAAGGGGCAAAGGGTCGGGAGATGGACAAAACAGAAGCAGGGTCACATTTTTGCCAGCCGATGACCGCTGCCACAGCCCTGCCAGCCCGCTCCGGAGCCAGCCAGCGAGCCGGGCTGCCGGCGGCGTGCAGCTGTTGCGCCCTGCTTTTCCACGCACATGCCAACGCATGCAAACAAAGGAAAGCGGCCCAGGGCCGCGCTCCCCCCGCCCGCCCCCTCGGGAAGCCCCGCACACGGCCGCCGCTCCCCGACTCCCGCTCCCCCGTTTCCCCCAGCCCCGCTCCCCGCACCCGGCCCGGCCGCAATGCCGGGGAGCGCCGGCCCCCGCCCCGCCGGCCTCGGGAGGCCCCCGCCCCACCGCTCACCCGCAGGGAGGAAAGGTCGATGTCCACCAGACTTTTTGCAGGAGAATCGTTCGCCATTTTTGAGGCTTTTTTCTTTTTTTTCCTTTCTTTCCTTTTTTTTTTTTCCTTTTCATCTTCGCTTCCTTTCTTTTTTGTCAAATAAGAGCGAGGCCGCCCGTTTCCCCCCCCTTTCCCCGAGAACGATGCGAATGGCGCGGAGCTCCTCTCCTCCTTTTTGCCCTTCCCTTCTTCACTCCAGCCCCGGCGGGTTGAAACTCTTCAGCATTGGGAGGGGTTGGCGGGGGGGGGGATGATGGATGGATGGCTGCCGGGTGGGAGGAGGGGGGGGCGGGAGGTGAAGGCGGGCAGGGAGCGAGGGAAGTAGGCAGGCAGGCAGGGAGCGGAGGTGCTGCGGTCCGGCGGGCTCTCCGAGGAGGGCGGCGGCGTCCCGGTCCGTCGGTCGGTCGGTCGGTGCCCGGGCGGGCGCTCACACCATGTCGCGGCGGCGGCGGCAGGAGCGGCGCCGGGGCCGGCAGCCTGTGGCAGCGTCGCGGTGCTCCCCGCGGCCGGGCATGGCACGGCTCGGCCCGGCACGGCTCACGCCGGCAGCCGATGGAAGCGACGGGCGCGGCCCCGCTCTCTCATGGGGGGCTTCACGCCCAGCGCCGCGGCGGAGCTGCCGCCGCCTTCGAGCCCTCCCCGCGGCGCTGCCCTGGCATGAAACGGCGGCGGGCACCGGGAGCGGGGTGCTGCGAGCCAGACAAAGATAGCCGGGGAGGAGGAGGAGGAGAAGGAGGAGGAGGAGGAAGGAGGAGGAGGAGAAAAGGGATACAAAATATACTGCGAGCAGAGGGAGAGAGAGAGAAAACAGCTCCCCCTTCCCTTCTCCAACAGGAAAAACCGGCGGAAACGCGCCCGCACCAAAGCACTTCTGGGTAAATTCGTGGAGAGAAAGAGAGAGGGCGAGGGCCGGGGCGGGGACGGCCTCGCAGACCCGCCCGGCCGGCAGCAGCCCGAGAGCCGCCCCGCAGGCGACGAAGGCCGGACTGGGGCGGCCCGCTGGTGTCCTTGGCGGGGACGTGGGCGGCGTGGGCCGTCCCGGGGTGCCGCAGCCCCGCGCCCCCCGCTGTGCGCTCTGCCCTCCGGGGACCTTTCCGTCACCCCTCCGAGACCCCCGCCCAGTTCCGCGCTCCCAGCCGCCCCTCGCCGCCAGGCAGAGCCGGCTCAGGCCTCGCGCCCGCCCAGGAGATCCTCCGGCAACAGCCTCATCACGTGGAAAACTCCCAGTAACCTCTCCCGAGCAGGCAGTCGCATGCAGGTGTAAACCTTGGCAGGATTCATCTTCCCTTGAAGTTCTTTATCGCACTGATATGGCAAAAATGTTACCTGCCTGCGAGAGGTTGGGGCGTGTTTCCTGTGGGAACCAAGGTTTTCCTGTCTCTTCGGCTTTAACCACAGAATTACATATACGTAGCTATAAGTATCGCAGAAACATGCTTTTAAAACAGAGCAAACCTGTTGAGCAGAAAGTGTGAGGTGAAATTACCGTAACAGTTTAATGGTGTGTTGCGTTTTCACTGAGTGTTGTTACCAAGATGGCAAACCTAGGCCGAGAGCAGACCGCTGTGTTCGCTGCAGAGGAAGAAGGCACACGGGTGGTGGAATCAGAGGTGTGCAGCGAGCTTTAGCCTTGGATTTACACCAAAATGTATCGACAGCAGATTGGTTTCGTTATTTGGGCTACTTAACTTGTCCTTTCTGCATGTCCTCTGGCAGGGAGTTCCACAGATTGCTGGATTGAAGACCATTTTGCCCATTGCCATTGAGTCCAGTTGGCAGGAAGCCCCTGCTGGTTCTTGTATTGGAAGAGACAGCAACCATCTCCTATTTGTTTTCTCTGCAGGAATTCTTTTTTTATAGGCTTGTGTTCTCCCCCAGTTTTTCTGACTTTTCAACTGATGCTGTGAGCAGCAGTCATTTCATGTAGTCCTTTGTTGAACTGTTCCTATTTTTGAGACAGGGAAGGGATCTCCATGCCCTGTTCATGGCGTGGGATGCCACATACAGTCTTATGTCATTGCCCTGTTTTCTAGCCCCTTTCTATTAATTCCCAGAGACATAGGTCTCTCTGAAAGTAATTCCTCCTATTTATTTCTGTGGAAACTACAAAGCCATACAAAGAGCTCAACAGCACTGTTTGATAGAGCAAATTCTCAGCTTTAAAACACTATTTTTCAACATAGCCACCACCATTAACTATGCATTTTTGCCAGTGATGAGCAAGAGCCTGCATGCTGCACTTGTAACAATCTGCACCACTGGAGGTGACCCACTGTCACCACTGCTGAAACGCACTACCTCACTGTCCTCACATCCACTGTTTGGTCTCCAGAAATGTTCAGCAAGAGTCAGTGAGTGTCAGTGAGTGCCATTTTCTCTGCATGGAGGAATTCAGTGATGCATTTGCTTCATTCTTGCTCCCATGTCAGATACCATTCTGTCAGACCACCCTCTGTTCCCTCCCAGCAACAAAATGTAATGTTGACAGGAAGGTTCAGCCTCTACTGCCATCGCACCAACGTCTGCCTGTGATGTCATGAGCCAATCTAATGAAATAGGAGGCATCACTTTCAAAGCAGCCCTTCCATTCCTGCTGCGGTTCCACCATGGTGGTCCCTTGCTGCTTTAAGCTTGTATTTTACTGTAATGACTTTTGTAATTTATTCTAGCATTCTACCAGAATACTGGTAAGGAAGCAGAAGTGCTGATGATAAGACAGTGAGTCCTTGAAAACTGTCATGACCCCTAACTTCAGAGAAAAAACAGTTTCCATAAGAGAATGAATTGCCATATGACTGCTTCCTTCTGGTTCCCAGGGAGAAGCACCGCACTGCCTCACCTTCCTTTTCCTCCCTACACAAGCTGAGGGATGAAAGAGCTGCTTTCTTGAGGAAGAAGTCTCTTTGCCTGTGGCCAAAACCGCTTGGTTCACATGTTCATCATCCTCTGCACCAGCATGGTGAGCTTGCCCAGTTTAGAAGGCATAAAGGTTAAATAAGGATCTGAAACCACTGGGAAGAAGATGAGCAGTCTGCTTTAGCTCTTCCTCACAGAGTTAAACCAGGATCCCTGAAGGAGATGGGTAGTGAGGGCTCTAGAGGGGAAGACGTGAAGAGCAGCTGCGGCCCTTAAGTGTGCTCAGCGCAGAGCAGAGGAGCTGAGGGGAGGCCTGATGGCGCCTGCAGCTCCTCACAGGGAGCGGAGGGGCAGCGCTGAGCTCTGCTCTGTGTGACAGCGACAGGGCCCGAGGGAACGGCATGGAGCTGTCAGGGGAGGGCAGCTGGGGTTCAGGGAAAGGGGCATCTTTGGAATGCCACAGGGCGGTGGGCGTGGGACGGGATGCCCAGGGCTGTGGGCACGGACCCAAGTGCTGGAGTTCAAGGAGCATTTGGACAGCGTTTGAAAGTTCTTAGTCGTATGGTCTGATTTTTTGTGTGGGCCTGCGAAGGGACAGGAGTTGGACTCAATGGTCCCCCCTGGGTCCATTCCAACCTGAGATATTATATGATTCTATACAGTAGCATGGCCTTACAAATCATAATGGGGTTAAAATCCATGGAAAGATTATTTCAGCCCCATGCATAGTGTCCATCCATCCATCTGTCCCCCCACTTCTCAAGCAGCGACTGTGTTTCCTAATGACAAACTAAGCCGGAGAGAGCTGCAGGGCCAGTGCGCTTCTTCCTGTGACCCACAGACATGGTTATACTTCTTCCTGCTTATTGTGCTCACAGAAGCAGGGGAACAGGGAATCTGTAGTTTCCCAGGCACTCTGAGCATCCTTGAAAGAGACAGCTAGAGCCTTCCAGTCCCTAGCCATTCATTCTTATCCTCTGGCACCTCATCCCTTGTGTCAGCATTCATACAGCTGTGCATTAAGCTGGGGCTTACTCATAGTAAACCAAGGAAAGGAAATGGATTTTGAATTTTAGTGCTGAAATTTCATGTTTTAGTTCCCCAGGCTGGTGGCTCATTTCTTGCCTGCTTGAGCAGCCACTGACAGGAAGGAGGGCAGTGAAGGGGCCAGAGCTGTGTGCAGGGGGGAAAGGGCAGCCATTGCCTTGTGGGGGCCACTGCGGCTGAAGGCAGTGTGAACTCTCAATGGATCTATCGGGGTAGAGCTGGAGAAACTTCCTTCCTTTCTGGAAGAGGCACTGTGGGGTAATGGAAGCCCAACGTTCATTTCTGCTTACAAAGAAATTTCTTGCCATCTATTTTTTTTTCCCCCTCAGTCTTTAAAGTTGCCTTTGTTTTATTCTTTTCCACATTTAATACACTGGGGTCCTGATCTCTGACCAGAGTTCTAGAGGTCACCAACTGCATTAATATTCTATGAGTTTAATCATCAACAGTACTCAAGCAGATGAGTAAAGAGACAGGAAGTGCTGAATTTTCATTTGGTTTCCACTACTGATTCACCCTGTAGCCTTGGGGCATCTCATTTCCTGCCTCCCCTCCCTTTCGCTATTTGGAAAATGGGAGTGATTTTGACCTGCTTGATACTGTGAAGTGTTAGACTTGTGCCCCCTGTACTGTCTGGAGAAATGGTTCTCACCTCATTCATACCTTCCTTTCCTCAACCCCTGCTGGGACCCACATCACTGCTGCTCTCTCAGATATGTCAATGCAGCTCCCCTCTGCTGTAGTCAGATAGCTGGGTGATATGAGCTAAAAAAGAAAACGTTTTTTATTTTTGTAGGGCTTGCTTCACCTCTTGTGAAGACCCTGCCTTGGAGGAGTAGTCAGCAGCAAAGTGAAAGCAGGATTTCCTCCAGTTGTTATCACAAGAGACTTAGGTATTGTGAAGCTATGTCTTAAAAGGTACTTTCAGGTGAAAGCATTACCTCAAATGGCTTTGCAGCATAGCCTTAGGAGACAAGGTAACCTTAGCCCTGTAAAAATTGATATCTCATAAGTGCAGCACTAGGGCATCCAGCAGCTCTGATTTTATCCAGATCATAAATGAGCATGGGACAATGTTTATATGAAAAGAACAGAGCTCATAACACAGTGCTTATAGCACCTTAATGCTGTCTGTGAAGAAGGAAGATGGGATCTGGTCCAT